GATATCTCAAAGCTAATTATATGTTTCGGTTTGACTATGTTGGTTGATTTCAAATTCCCAGTAATCTAATCCTTGAAGCTTTTTCTTCAGTGGAAGAAAATTATTGCTTATATAGCCACGAGCTATCTTGGCAATTTTCCAATAACATTTTCTTGACCTTTTGATTAGGTTGGGGAACAAATTGAGGCTTTGCAAATATAGAAAAAAGATGTATATCTGTTGCAGCTTTGGTTATTTAGACATTTCTCAGTTATGGCTACTGTCTTTGCAAAATAGATTTCCAGGACAAGTACTGAGAATTTTTTAAAGTAATATTGATACTGATATTTAAGTAACAGTGTAAAATTTCTTTGATGAGTTGTGAAGTCGTTGGGAAGGCCAATATTAATTATATAATACAGCTCGTGTTAATTTCTGTGATTCATGTTACAATTTTAAGAATTAAGTTGAGAATATTTTCCACTTTGAGTTTGCAGTCCCTTCGTATGTGACATGTCGGCATGCAGGGTAATATATTTTATTGTGCATTTAATCAGATTAAAATTTCTCCGATTATTTAATTTAGATCTGTTTGAATGCATTCAGTTGACACCGGTCATGTAGGTTAGTATAGTTAGCAAACCTTAAAACAGGACTCTTGAGGTGTTACTTCAAAGTCACTGTGGTGTAAAAAATGGCCAAAATGGTTCATAGCTAACAAACCCTAGCCCTTTAAGGCCATTTCACAGCCAATCTTTGGCAAGTAGTGGTGTCCTCACTTAAAGTCGGGGTTATATTTGCAAAGTTCCAACTTCAAGTGGAAAGACTTGCATAGGAATTAATATTTAACCTAGAGTCATACACTATGGAAACAGACCCTTTGGTCCAACACATCCCCGCCAACCAGACATCCCATTCTGACCAGTCCAATTTGCCAACATTTGCCCCATATCTCTTTAAAACCCTTCCTATTCATATACCCATGCAGATGCCTTTTAAATGTTGTGATTGTACTTGCCTCCACCATTTCCTTTGGCAGCTTGTTCCATACATGCACCATTCCAGGTGAAAAAGTTACCCCTCAGATCCCTTTTAAATCTTTCCCCTTACCTATTTGCTTCTCAATTTCCTGCTGACTATTGAGGGGCTTATAATGCACACCCAAAGGTAATCATCCCTTTATTGTTTCTCAATTATGACCATATAATTTCACTGGACAAATCCCAGGAATATCTTCCCTACATATAGCCACTCCCCCCTCCTCTATTGCCTCCCTTTCTAAACTTCCTATAGCATCTATACCCTGGAACATTAAGCCGCCAGTCGTGTCCATCCTTGAGCCACGTTTCTGTAATAGCTATGATGTCCCGGTCGCACGTTTCCAACCATGCCCTAAGTTCATCTGCCTTACCTGTCAGGCCTCTCGCATTGAAGTAAATGCAGTTTAACTTATCAGTCTTACCTCGTTCTCTGCCAAGCTCGTCTGCCTTAACTATTTGACTTGCTCCCCTTACTTACTGTCCCAGCCTCAGCCTCTTTTCTCACTATCGCTTTTGTATTGCCTGGTGTTTGACCAGGTTGAGGGGGCTTGGTGGAGGGTGATGGTTGCTCTGTTCCAGATGGAGTTTGATGGATCCCCGATGCAGTGCATTGTTCCACTGATTGTAGGCCACATTCTACCGTGGCGGCCCTGCGGTTCTAATGGACACCTCAGCATCTACACTTAGTGTATATGTATTTTATCTTTTTTGACACTTGTGTCAAACAGTGATCAGTCATATCTGCTATTTTAAACAACTCTTGGACTTTATTTCGACTTAGCAAATCAGAATGTTATTTTCTCTTTTTCATCTTGTGTCCTTATGAAAGGATGAGATCATTAATACTTCATCAGATACACTCTGTGGTTGGAACTAAAGTATTAATGTATCTAGGCAGCTGTTTTGCTTTATACAGAAGTCAAGTCAACACTAATGCGATTACAGAATTGAGTGAATAAGAGAACAAGCTGCCAGCTCACCAGGAATGACACTGGAAAGCTGGGGCTACTGTAGCTGTGCTGTGCTGTGCTGTGCTTAATTCATAGACTAATATGCAAATACTTTTTCTCAAATGCCATTTACAGAGTAGCTACCTGAATAAATTGTCTGTTTTCAGTCAATTGGTGAGCTCTCTGGTGCTGCTATTTGCAAGCTGGTTTCAACAGATTTCACCCTCAGGTATCAAGAGAATGCCAAATTATGCCATATCTCCAGGTTGGTGTGATGCGAACCCAGATTTTCTGGGCAACCTATAAGTATTTTGGCACTTGTTGGTGAAAGTTCAAAGAATGTTAAATTCCATGTCCATCTTCCCCAGAATTCCATGTGAATTTCTTCAATTGTTTTCTCCCCTTTCACAATACAGAAATGGGTCTGACCAGTGTCATTAATGACGTCTTAATAAACACCCTATTGTTTGCACCCGTTGACCACATCATCCTCCTCCAGTGTTTCTCCACTGTCATCCAACTGGGTGACAATTCATTCACCAGGTAATGTTCTTATCTTTCCGATTGTAGCCACAGAATCACCTCTAATGACTTTGCCCATCTCTTCATAACATATACATTCATGTTGCCTTGGCAACATCATCTGAAGGTATTGAGTTAGTTTTGCATGTACACTGACTGTACATAGCAACACCTTACTCTATTTTTGACCCTTCTAAATTTCTCGATGCTTGTCTGACATCTCATTCTAGTTGAGCGGTAATTTCCTCCAACTAAACAATGGGAGTACCACAGCCAATGCCTTTGGTTAGTTCCTTAGTTATGGATCCCATCCCTACACCTGGTAACAGTCTGAATCTGAACAACACTGCTTGCAAGTTTGGTATGCTATTTTATACTGAGATGTTCCTGACCTCACATCCACTTCATTCTTAAGACCTTGTTGTCTCAGATTCTCCAGCATCTGCAGTTCCTACTATCTCTCATTCTTAAGACCACCTATTTGTGGTATCACCTGATTCCATGCCTGCCTCAGCTTCTCTGTTTTTGAAAGGCTTATCCACATCTATATTGTTGCTGGATTGGACTATCGCAACACACTCTTGGTTGCACTTCCATCTTCCAAGAGCCTAAGCTGTTTCAAAACTCTGCTGATATGTTAACTTGCACTTAGTCCTATTTGTTAATTACTCCTGTGCTCGCTGACATACAGTGCCTCCTAGCTAAACACCAACTCAATTTTAACATTTTCATCCACATTTTCAAATTCGACTGTGGCACTTCAAACCTTATTTTCTGTAAACTCTTCCAGCCCTACAATCTAGAACCTTTTGTGATAACTGTGCCCCTCCAGTTCTGAACTCTTGCAAACCCCTGATTTCAATTGCATCACCATTGAAAACTGTGCCTTTAAAGGCCAAGGATCTAGGTTCGTTCTTTTCCTAAACCTTTTTTTGCCTCTTGATCCTCCTTTAACATGCTTCATGAAAGCTGACTCTTTGACTAACTGTACCAAACTTCTCAAATGGCTCAGTATCTTGAATTTTAGATAACGCTTTAAAGAAGCACATTGGGATGTTTTGTGGAAAAAAGGCATTGCGTAAATGCAAACATGTTGAAGATTCTTGCCTAGCCTTTCCTTAATTTCTCTTCCTGACCTGGTGCTGCTTGATATTTTGTTATTTTCTGTATAGATGTGTTCTTTTGTCATTCATGCTCATTTCATCTGTGACATTGATACACATCCTCAGGGATGAACAGCATTGCTGTTGTTCCGAATGTGTTTGATTGCAATAGTGAGGAAGACTTTCTATGGAAAACATACAAAGGAACAAAGCTGTTAAACTTTCTTTGGTGCAATGTGTTATCTCCAGATTGTGCCACATTTTATGTATGCATATTAAACAACTTCCTAGGATTGAGAAAATGTCCACCTCAAGGAAACAATGGAACATTTGACCGTTTAGTGATTGTAAAATCTTGTTTTCAAAAAGGATATTTTGCCCCTTATAATCTAAGTTTGTTTAATTTGATCTGCAAGAAGAAAGGGCTTTAGAGAGAAGTAGCCAAAGTCTTCAACAAAAGATAGATTCCTGGAAATCCTCCAGTTTCGTAGCTGGAGTCAGTTGGGTTAGATTTTGATATCTACAAACATTGTTTTAATAATTATAAATGATATTAATGAAGTACATTAACAACACCAAAAATTCAACCTCAGCTGCAGATTTAAAGCAACCTGCTGCAAATTAATATTAGACTGACTTTGTGACATCATTTTCAGTAGACGCATTTAAGAGATTTGTTATTTTGTGAGAATTCAGTAAAAACTAATGGCAAAAGTTTATTTTATTGTCCTTCCTGGAGCGTAAAACTTATTTCTGGTGATATGGTCAATTAGTGGAGATACAAAGCAAGCTGATTCTCAGTTACTGCAGGAAAACAGAAGTATTCAGCCCCAAAAGGCCTATTCTCTCATGAAACGGTCATTTTGGTGAAAAAAGTAATGGTATTTGCAACAAAAGCTAATTTTAGTGAAAAAACAGTAGATTATTATGAAATGTTGATTGGCACAATGTAACCAATATTAGAGACTAAAGAATCAAAAAATGTAATTTGCAAGGTGATGATTATACAGATTTAAAAATGACATTAGACAAGATGTGACTTTATGGGTGCCTACTAGTCTGAGGGAGGGGATTAGATCATTTGCTATGGCTAAGATCAAAACAAAAGTGGGCCTAGACATCTGTTCTATATATCTCTGATACAACAAGGTGAACTCATCTAGTGTATATTGTTGTATCTTATGACAACTACAGATTAATGCCACAATGAGCGATATGGTGCAGAGAATGCTTTGGGAGAGTAAGTGAATTCATGAATGGTGAAGATGTACAATTAATTTTGAGAGTGTTAAGACTCAGTTGTCCTAACAACTTTGAGTAAAACATGAACATGAAAACCTTTTGCAAGTTCTATTCAAAAAGCTAGCTGTAATATTTTGTGTAATTAATTTTGTTCTTTTCATTAGGTTGAGCTAATTAAGGGAAATTCACAGAGCGTTGGACTGACTTTTCGCCAAATCCAAGGCAGTGATGGAGATGCAGTACATGTTAGTGTTGAAACTGTTACTCCTAACTCATCAGCTGCAGCTGCTGACCTCCAGAAGGGAGATCGTCTCATTGCAATTGGAGGTGAGGACATATTTGGTTTATGTATTTATAGTGAAACCCAGCGAATTAATCCCTGCATTTGGATCGTACAGGTGGTAAACTAAATCCAGACTCTGAAGTTATTGCCTGAATCTGGATAGCACAATAGGCTTTGTATTTTATACCTGCAATTTACCAAATATTGTGTTGTGCTAAACTTCATATTTCACTGTTGTCTATGAAACATAGTTAGGTAAGTTGGATTGATGTTTGCACAATTGAGAACCCCCTTCAATTGTTCGTTTTTAATTTTTTTTTGTTAAATTGACCGGAGCACGTCGAGAATAAAATAATTAGGAACCAATAATTAGTTCAGATTTTTTAAAAAGTGGAATACATGAAAGCCAGAGAGCATTTGTAGAGAAAGAAATAGATTTAACATTTCAGGTAAATTGTTCAGTGTTGTTAGATAAAGGCATGTATTGAAAAGAAGGCAGAGAGGGCACATCTATTCTTGAGATCTTGGTTGAAAATGACATTGAGGTGAAGTCCATGCAGCATTGTTTTTTCAGCTTTTCAACATAATTGGGGGGGGGATGTGTTAACATGGAGTATTGTCTATTTGAAGCTAATGAGTAATGAAAGGCATGTTCTGTGTACTCATCGTATCATAAAGAAATAAGTTGTAACATAAACGGATGAGATGCTTTTATATTATATCTTGGGTCCATGCGCCATAGGCCTTTGAGGGAATCTATAAAATCTCCAGAATTCCAACTAACATTTTGAATGTTTTTTTTCCTTTAACACTTGATTTGCTAGTTAATTGTTTCTATTGCTATATACAAATAAGTAAAATCTGCACTGCTAGCATTGCTTTTCTTCAGGTTTCCGATAATGGTCCTTTGCAAGTTATCAGAGGGAGATCCTTAACCTGAGTCAATATTTTCAGAAGAGTTGCCTGTATAGAAAAGCCTGAAACCCTCTAGTTGGGTTTGCAGCAGGTTGTTCTGTATTCTAACAATATGTCCTTTGATCTTGACTGTTTTGTGGATATCCATACAAAAGAGCCAATTAAAAATGTTCAATGAACTTGCTTGAAATGGAAGAATATCATGCGGTCCATTTTTTCATACATGTTTTTGCAATGTTGTAAGCAATATTGAGGCACTCATTTTTGAAGCAGACCAATTGAAATTTCACTGAATAACTAATAAATTTAACTTCTGCTCTTATTTTAAATGTTGAGAACCATGTGGCCATAAAAGTAATTAAAATTCAACTGATTCTTTATGTCTTTCAAGAATAAATCTTCTACCTATCTGGCTTTCACACAATTCCTCACTTGGACTTTATAAGCTGATAGTTAATACCCTTTTAAGTGGACTTGTAAACCAACCAGTTGCAAAATCAATCATCAAAACTGTCCCATGGATGGATATAAATGGGGCATTGTCAATGTCACTCTTGTCCCAAAAGTGAATTTTTATGCCTAATATGTCTTGTGCATTTCTATGCTGACGTTAATTTTGTCATGTATGTTCCACACTCCACAGTTATGCATCATCATTCTATGATGTAGTTACAGTAGCAACTGCACACTTCTAGTATGAGGCAGACCTTCACCAACTCTAAAAGCTACAGGTCACATCCATTTATTTTATTGCTTCTCTGTAACGTGAATTTCCATGTGAAGCTCTGAGAGATCTGCTACTTTTGTCTAACGTCTGAAGGATGCTGACAGCTTAAGCATACAAAAAGCTTGAGGAGGGATCAAAAGCACAACCAATACATGTTGTATTGTGTTTTTGTTTTCTAAAGTGATATGCCCTTTAAATTGGCAAGGTGGTCTGTGCTTTCTTAAGCAGAGAAAACGGTATTGACGTAGATGTCCCCAATCTTGCTCACCTATTGGAGATCGTGATGAGTCACTTGTCAAAAGTAATATAGGATAGAAACTAGGATTCTGCTTTTTTTCTCATGTCCTTTTTTATTTTTAACCCTATTACAGTGAACATACTCCAATTTGCACAAAATATTAAGTATTCATTTTGATTTATTTATTAGATCATAAAATCTACATTTTTTTAATTTTTAAAGTACCATGTTTTGATTTTATTATCTTCCATTCTTGCCCGTGTTTTGCCTCTTACCTTGTATGAAGAACTGACTTTTTCTGGTCCATAGGTTATCAGGTGACTTCCTGTATTTCAGTATTTATATCTGAGCTTTTATCATGAATTATGAAGCTGTTCAGTGACTGAGGAGTATTACAGCCAGTCTCAACTATGTCCTTAAATGCTTTCAGCTAATTTGATTCTGATAGGTGTTCTGTAAAATTTGTTTATTTGTTTCTTCTGTTTGCAGGTTCATTTCTAAAAATGTTATGGAATATTAGTTGCATTGCACTTGTGATATAAACTCTACCTTTTTCACGTCAGAGTTAAATAATCTATCTTCCTTGAATCCTCAAACACAAAAAACGTTTACAATAAACTCTGTTGAAAGTTCCTTGTTTCAAATTTAGATTCTAACATTTCCACTGGTAAAATGTACAGAGATTCAGTTTATTGACTAAGTAATTGGATACCTAGTCGTTCATCACTCAGACTGGCTTTATAAATATTTACACAATAGAAAGTATGCCTCAACTCCTGTCTTTGAACGGATAGGGTGGGGTGGTGAAAGAAGCCTGCATTGTAGTTATTGCACTTGATAAAAGATAAAGATCAATATACTTCAATTCAATTGTATTTTCATCATAGTATTGAATCAAGCCAGGTGTACACCTATCAAATATACTGTTCTGAAACATTGCTGTTGTATGTCAGGTGCCAAAATCTGTGGATTATACACCATCAAGGAGAAAGGCGGAGGCAGGACCTTGCAATAGATCCTTTAACCACCTGACTTCAGTGTTGCAAACATTAACGCGACTGCTTTTAAAGGTTGATTTGCCCTCTGTTTATGTGGTTGTGCTCTGCTGCCTGTGGTTTCAAACAAAACTCTGGTCTGATGTAGAAAATCGCTCTTTTGTTTAAAAAAAATAAATGTATGCAGCTCCATTCACCACATTCAATTCAATTTCCATTACAATGGGTCTTGTCAGTTTATTGGCCAATATGGGAGTTATTGTGTAGCAGGTGCCACCATAAAAATAATAGTGTTCATGAATTTCATTTGCAAGTCTGCCTTATTTTCTCCAACTGAACCTAAATTGCAAGTTCACATCTCTAAATGACCCTGATTCAGAATCCTGCCTTTTACTTTAAAAACAGAATAATCCTTGCATCCATAACTAGAACATTTTCAAATCAGGTGATGCACCGTAACTTCAATTGTCACAAATACAGCTGTAATTTTTTTCCTCTTTACATGGTGCAACACATCGTTCATCTATAGCAACTATTGGAATTAACTTTGTTTGTTCAAGTCAACTGTACAATTTAAAAGAGAAACAACTTACCACTTTGTATTTCCTGCACTGTTTCCCTTATCAACCAAGTACTCACAGCCCTACATTAGCTCTTTGTCAAGTAACCTTTTGATTTTAAAATTCTCATCCTATTTTCAAGTGTGTCTATGGCATCAATCCCTCCCTACCTAAGTAACCTCTCCCAGCTCCACAACCATCTGAGGTTTGTGCAATCTTCTAATTCTGACCTTGTGTGCATCTCCCGCATTTAATTTTTCCTCTGTGTGGGCTATGTCATCTCTTTTCCCTTGGTCCTAATCTCTGGAATATCCTTCCTATACCTTGATCACATCAGCTTTCTCTATTAAGGCACATTTTAGGACTTACTTCTTTGACTAAGCCTTTGGTCTACAGACTTAATATTTCATGTTCGTGTCATTATTTGCTTTATACTGCTAATGTGAAGTACCTTAGAAAGTTGTTTCATTACTTTCAAGGTGTTTTATTAGTTACTATAGTTGAGGAGTCCACCGTTTGTCATAATGTTGTAAATATGAGCGACCAATGGTCAACACTATGGGCTTCTGTCTCTCTACAGTGCTTCAGAAAATGCTCTATGTTTGATGAGCAGGCATATCAAAAGGAACAACAACAGGGGCAGTGGGATGTGGGCTCACAAGTTGCTGATCTCAGCTGCTTTACCATGGTGTGACAGGTCAGATGTGATTGTATTGAATGATTCAACAGGCCTAAGAAGCTGAATGCCCTACTCTTGTTTCCATGTTCCTACAAGGGTTGGTTATGTGGCAAATAAAGCATCAACATTAGCAGGATGTTCTTGCATGATTTCTGGTAGCTTAGAACAATATTACTGAGAACTGAAGTCTGCTTCTCATTCGTTTAGCCAAAATTGATAGGGAGTTGAGAAAAATAGCTAGAAAGTGGTTCAGCTTGCCCGTTGGATTAAATGTTGGTGTGATACTGAACCATACAGACCACATTAGCTCCTGGTCGAGTTAATCTAAGCCAGGAATGTAGTTTGAACAGAAGACCTGGACTGTACAAAGGAGTGGTGGAATAAAATAAGCAACAATTCCCACTCCTGCTCCCAATGTGTTGCATCTTGTTGAAAAGTGTACATGCGCAAAATTCAGGATCAGGATAAGCTTTGATGCTAATAAAAACAAAGTACTGAAAATTTCAGATCTGGCAGCATCTGTGGAGAGAGAAACAGTTAATATTGCAAGTCCAATATGACTATTTGTTTGAAGAAAAGTCATGGAGGTGAAATGTCAACTTTGTTTGTTTCACCACAGATGCTATAAAACTTCGAGTCATACAGCATGGAAACAAATCCTTCAGTCCAACTAGTCCATGCTGACCATAAACCTGAACTAAACTAGTCCCACTTGCCTGTGTTTGGACTATATCCCTCCAAACCTTTCCTTTGCATATACTTATCCAAATGTCTTTTAAATGTTGTAACTGTACCTACATCCACCACTTCTTCCTCTAGCATTTCATTCCACACAAAAGCTACTCTCTCTATGTTTTTAAAACAAAAGTTACCTGTGATGTCGTTTTTAAAACTTTCTCCTCTCACCTTAAAAATATGCCCCCTGGTTTT